TAAAAAGAAATTTTTGCAGCATGTCTCAACATAGTGTCTGTCCACAGATGAATGGGTAAACAACATGTAGTACATGGGGGCTTCCAAGGTTGTGGGGAAATGGCAATGATTAAAACATATGATAGGGCTACAAAAAGTTTGTGGGAAGATAGAATTAAAAGCTAAAACAATTTTTCCACGAATTTTTGGAAGGCCCCTCATATATAAAAGTTGCGTTTCAGGTTGATAGCTTCCCTTTGTATATTTTTCTGATTCTCTGATTAGCACTTGTTCTTAGGTGTAACTTAGTGGCCTTATGTGCCACAGAATGAAGCACTGCGTGGCCTGGCTGGCTGTCTGGTCATGGCTTTGTGGGAGCCCATGGTTGCAGCCCCTGGGTCACGCCATGTCGTCAAGGGTCTTCCTTTTGGCTGTCCCTCCACATTACCAAGGATGATGTCATCCTTCAATAACCTCCCTATAACAGCGACCAAATTGTTTAGAACACCAGACTGAAAGCTTTGTTTGAATATAAAATTCCTCCATCCTTGGCAGGCATTTAAATTGTTGATTAGACTAGTTATAGATTTACTGGTCACAGGGAAAAAGTGTCTTCTTTTGGTAAAGTGTGAGCTCTTGAAAGGTAAATGCTATTTCAACCAGGGATGTGGGTTTAATACTTCCTTACCTTAAATTTATTTTATGTCTTAAATATGTTCCTTAAAAAATGAATGTAAACCCAAAATGTGAAGTGTTTCTTCATTGACTTCCAGTACAGTTTAGGAGATGTTATCATAAGGGGAAAAATTTGGCTCCAACATGTAGTAAAAAAATCACATTAAGAATCTGAGTCTTTCCCTTTAAAGTGGCATTTAAAAATTATTAAATGAAATATTTTTATAGAAATGAAAATAAATATACTTGTCTACTCTTTTTCAAAAGGTCCTTGGTGGTGTAGTGGGTTAAGTATTGGGCTGCTAATACAGGGTTGGCAGTTCAGACCCAACAGCTTCTCTGCAGGAGAAAGATGAGGCTATCTGCTCCTATAAAGATGTACCAGAAAACACTCCTAAGGGTCAACAAACAGACCTTGCACTATGTACAGGCTTTTCTTTTTGTTGTTGTTGTTTTGTTGCTTTGTTTTTCTCTGTCTTATTTTTGTGCACATTAGTATCTCTGCAGGTCTATCTAGATAAGATAGGCTGGATAAACAATCTGGAGGAAAAAACAACGGGACCCACAGTTTCTCAAGGACATGGGAGAGTGGAAGGTGGGGGAAAGGAAGAGGTGTTAGTAAACCCAGGGACAAGGGAAAAACAAGTGATCCAAAATCTGTGATGAGGAGGGTATAAGAGGCCTGGTAGGGCTTGATCAAGGACAATGTAACTGAGAGGAATTACTGAAATCCAAATGAAGGCTGAGCATGATAGTGGGATAAGAGGAAAGTAAAGGAAATAGAGGAAAGAAATAGGAGGCAAAAGGCATTTAGAGAAGTCTAAATACAGGCATAGACATATGTAAATATATTTATATATGACAATGGGGAAATAGATATATGTGCATATACTTATAGGTTTAGTATTAAGATAGCAGGTGGATATTGGGCCTCCACTCAAGTACTCCCTCAATACAAGAATACTTTGTTCTATTAAACTGGCATGCCATGATGCTCACCTTCCCAACACGATCACTGAAGACAAAGCGGGTGCATAAGCAAATGTGGTAAAGAAAGCTGAGGGTGACTGGCTATCAAAAGATACAACGTCTGGCGTCTTAAAGGCTTGAAGGTAAACAAGCGACCATCTATCTCAGAAGCAACAAAGCCCACATGGAAGAAGCACACCAGTCTTTGTGATCATGAGTTGTCAAAGGAATCAGGTATCAGGCATCAAAGAACAAAAAATCATACCATTGAGAATGAGGGGGTGGGCAGAGTGGTGACCCAAAGAATGTTTACCTCCAGATTATGCCCTCGTATGGCCTCTCTGCTTGGAAGGCCTGCACTAGACTACTCTGTCTAAACCAGCACTTTTATTGAGCTGTTTCCTTATCCTGCAGTATTATTCTTCAGACCACTAAATATTTCCTGATACCATGATATTTATTTGTATGTTACAGACTGTCTTCCATACTCAATAGCTTGTAAGTGTCGTAAGGACTGAGCTCTTATCTGTTTAGTTCACTTTGAAATTCCTAGAGCCTAGAACATCTCCCAGGTCCGTTGTAGGCCCTTGTTGTTGTTGTTGTTGTTGGCTGCTGAGAGTTGGTTCCCACTCAGAGTGACTGTATGCACAGTAGCACGGAACATGACCTGCGCCATCCTCATGGGTGTTGTATGTTTGAACCCATTGCTGTATCCACTATATCAATCCATTTATTTGAGTGTCTTGTTCTTTTTTGTTCCTGTTCTAAATGACTAAGCATGATGTTCTTTTCTGGGGACTGATCTCCCCTGATAGCACAGCCAAAGTGCTTGTACTTCGTCAAAGACAGATTTGTTCATGCTTCCGGCAATCTGTAGTACACTCAGTATCCTTTCACAACACCGCGATTGAATGCATCAACTTTTCTCCTTCCTTATTCATTGTCCTGCTTTCAAATGCATATGAGGGGATTGAAAATACCATGGCTTGGGACAGGCACACTTTAATCATTGCCTTTTAATGCTTTTAAGAGGCCTTTTGCAGCAGATTTTCCCAATGCAAGTATCTATGGAATGAGTGAGTGACAGAGATTGTGCTTCTAGACTTTGCCCTTATGCTGCCACCACTGCTATTAAATAGTTATTACTCTGACTGTGCCAGGATCGCAGGGCAACAACAACAAAAACCAAAAGTATTCTGGGCAGCAGGACAGTGTGTCAGAAAATCAAACTACAAGGTTTAAAAAAGAAAAAAGTCTGGTATGCTGGCATTACATTCTAGAAAATAGAATTTGTTAAATTGACTCCTTTTCTTGGCTCACTTTGCCATAGGAATTCTGATTAACCAACTTACCTTCTTTCCAAGATATTGTCCCAGAATTTAGAAGAAAAAAAATCTTTATATTAGGGTTACACTATGCATTTTACATGACAACCTAATGAAAGTAATAGAAGTAAAATGTATTACCTTTGTTAAACCAAGGGAATTGTGTGTGCATAACTGTTTGTTTATGTACTCTTCTGCCCTGCCCCCGGCCCCCTCTAGTGAATGCAGTACTTTTTAGTGCTTGTGAAAAGTCACTGTGGAGTTTAGTGATGGAACTGGTTGGTTGACTAAAAGGATGACATGCCACGAGGCAGCTGCTGTGTAGCTGTGCTTCTTACTGTGGTCTTGAGGGGTGACCCAGTAGATTGAGCTTCCACCTTCTCCCTTTTCTATGGCTTCAGCAGCAAACATTTCAATTAAGTTGGGGTGTGTGTGTGTGTGTGTGTGTGTGTGTGTGTGTGTAAGCCTCATAATTTGACCCAGACCACAAATTCATTTGTTTCATACAGCTCAGAAGATGGTAGCTACTTTCATTGCCACCACAATGTCTTAATTTAAATCTGGGACCTACCACTATAAAGGGGGCTCTGAATTTTATTACCGAAGCTTCCAAGTTGAATCTGGGTTTCTCTTATTTGTGCTTCTCAGGGTGTTTTCCTGATTCTTTTTCTGACGGAGTTTTTGAAGAAGAATAACTTCCTTTGGTGAATTAGTAAACAGATTTTCTTATTCTAAAAAAAATAATTTAAGTCATAGTTTGAAGCATACGCCTGTTTCTAGAAGAAAATGCTTTCACTGATTTGCCAAATAAAAGGGTTTATTTCACAGGATTTTAAAAAATGCTATAAATATTACATTGGTAACAAAATTACCATATATTAAATGGAAGCAGGCATCTTCTTAAATGAAATAGTGGCATGAGGAAGATTTTGTTTCTGATTCAAAAAGGCCCCAAAATACAGACATATTTTTCCACTTGATGACAATGGAGTTCTCAAGTAGTCTGGGTCTATTTGAAATGAAGGCATGTAACCTTGTGTCTCATACCCTAAAATGAAGTTGTTAATTTTAGGGTTATACTGCAAAGGCACAACTTGAGCTCTCCTTAGTATCCTATGTCAGCACCCTCCCCTGTAGGTTTAGTTTAGTCCAGAAGAGACCCGGAGTCTGGAAATCAGGCTTGCTCATCCACAGGTTTTGTCAGCTCTTGGTCAGCACAACAGGAGTCGCATGCGGGCACTCGGAAATGACGGGACCTTCTCCTTGCTGCTTGCCAGGTTCTGCCCCCTCTCAGCCCCCCACCTCACTTCAGCATTGTTCCTGTTTTCATGAGCATCTCACCATATTTCTCATCCCTTGCTCCCATTTTTGACCCCCTGACCTACGAATCAAGAAAACGTCATGTTAGTGCCTACTAATTAGTGCACCCAGAGAGCCTTTGCATCTGGCCTTTCAACCTCCTGGAGGTGGGCGCACAGGCTGTCACTCGTATCATACAGGGAAAGTGAATCTTGACTGCGTTTCCCTAGTTCTGCAAATGGCCCAATAAGCCCAGCTGAGACTAGAGATGAATATGCAGGTTAGGAGGAAATTAACCTACATTGCACGGCTGTTTGCATGTTTGTCTTGCAGATAACAGTACTGCCAGCACTGAAATGCTACCACGATGGGATCCTCACATGCCTGAATTTTTTGCCAGAGCCTGTCTGTCGCCTCACATTTTTATTGTCCTCATTAGGTGAAGCCCTCGCTTTGTGAAGTACGAATTTTAAGTGAGGGATATTTGATTAAAAAGTTACGGAGCCTTGCACTGTTTTCCATTGCTTTTAGACAGCGCTTGCTGAAAATACTGCAGTTTGTTAGTGAGCCTGTGGTTCCACTGCTCATTAATCAGACCTGGTGGGCCAGCGTCCCTGGAGCCTCCTGGGTTTTGGGGGATCAGCTACTATAATTAAAGGGATGAAATACATCATGGTCACAAACTTACCACATCAGACAATTGAGGGTTTTAAACTGGTTGAATTAATCTTTTGCCTTTTTTTTCCCCTTTAGGTGTTTAAGATAGAAGTGCTAATGAATGGAAGAAAACATTTTGTTGAAAAGAGGTACAGTGAATTCCATGCCTTACACAAAAAGGT